TCCCCAGACTCCAGGACTGGCCCATGTTCCTCCCCAACCTCCTCACTGTCTGAATCTGCTGCCAGATCCGCTGGCCACTGGCGGATTACAACACATAAGCTGTCTTAACAAGTTTGCAGAACATACTGAAACACAGACATAACTAAGGTTAAAACTAATGCAGTTTAGAATGCCATTTGAAATGGAAATTTGGGGATATCATTTGGGTTGGGAAGGGTGGCTTAGCACCATTAGGGAACTGGAAATCATCCCAATTGCCTTTGATTAATAGATTCCCTCCTGTTTCCCAAGGGTGATGAAGAAGCCAGCCTGGGTCTCCCCATCAGCCCTTTCATGGACCGCTCTGCTCCGCAGTTAGCAAAACTCCAGGAATCCTTCATCACCCACATCGTGGGCCCCCTGTGTAACTCCTATGACTCAGCAGGACTGATGCCAGGCAAATGGATTGAAGATAACGATGAGTCAGGGGATACAGATGAGCACGAGGAGGATTCCTCAGACATGGACTCCTGTGACAGCCATGAAGCAAGTACGTTTGTCCTAGGTTTTCATTTTATTTTTATTTTATTCCCCTCTGACCCGCTGCTGGTTTCCCAATAAAAATGCTGCATGCCCACCCCAAACTCATTTCGTAAAAAGTTATTCTGAGTCAAACTTATGGTTTGTGGCAGGGAGACCAACAAGATTAATCGATGTAAAGCAACTCAGTAACTTCATCAGTGCTAATCCACTGGCACTGATGATGTTACCTAGTTGGGTAATGAGATGCCTGCAAGAAAGCAGCCAATCTCAGAGAGCACCAAGGACTCCTCGTTTGGATTTCTTGGAAGTATGTTATGTGGGGTTTGGGGTTGTTGTTACAACGATCAACATTGTCTGATCTAAGATGCAAGATCAAATTGTAAACACATTGGTAGCAAACAATCGAAAACTCAGGCAAAAGTGAGAAAGAGGGAGAGAAACAGTGATGGGAAGAGGGAAACTGTCAGGAAAGACATTCAGAATGTCAGAAAGGAGCTTGTGCCTCATTTTTAATTCTTAGTCCTGCCCGTTGTGGCCTAGAACGAAGCCCTCAATGGTATTTGCTTGTGGGAATGTTGATAACGGAGAGGTCTTCTTCTTGTTGTAGACCAAACAGCTTTCTCCAATGTCCCTGTGCATTGCTTCCTAACAACCAATTCAGCTATTAGTCACAAGGAAGTGGCCAATTTAGGTAGCAGGTTTGGGCCACCGTGAAAGGTCAGAATTTGTCATTGTATTTTTTTCCCCCTTTAAGTGAAAAATCCGGCATCTCCACAAGGCCTGCTCCATCATTAAGCACCAAGGCACTTGTTACTTAATATGAAGAACGTTATTTGAACGCTCTTCACAAGCAACAAATTATTGTTTCACTTAAAGTTGCTGGTTCTGCCAAGGAGAAGCATTTTTCTGTCAAAACAGCTTCACCGGTTGAAGAGATATATACACCTATCATCTTTAACCAATAGATGATGATTATGATAACAACAACAACAACTGCCACAAAGAGAAGAGGGTCACAATAATAATGCCACAAAGGGGAGGGGCGTCAAAGGGGGGGGGGGAAATAGGTTTGGGAACCTATTTCCCAAAGTACCAGAAGGCAGGACAAGAATAGCAATAGCAATAGCAATAGCAATA